TATATATATTATATTATTTTATTGAATATACTTTGTACTAAGTAGAAACATTTTTATTATTTATATTAATATTTATGGTATTGATAAAATAATTAATTATAATAGTATATTTAAATTATATATGGCTTTAAAAAATATATATATTTTATATTATATATAAACGTGTACAACAATTCATTTTTTTAACGATAGTGACGTGAATGATGTGATTCCAACCGGAATTATTTGTAACTCTTTTTAATTAAATAACACACACATATGTAAAATGTCTTTAGATCAAACGGTGTGTGAAGGTAAAAATTGAAAATTTTTATCTATTGAATGATTTTTTTATGTTTAGTGAAAAGTAATATAGAGACATAATAATATACACAATAAGAGTGTATAATTTTGAGGTTATCTTTTTCATATAATTGTTTTCAGATTTAAAAGCGTTTGAAAGACGACTTACCGAAGTAATTGCTAGTTTACAACCAGCTACTCTGCGATGGAGAAGTATGTTTTTCTATTTCTTTAATCTTAAGTTTTATAAAATTTCTTATTAATTTCTTATAAATGATAATGTAATGTTAATATTGCTTATTATTACATTATGAATTTAATAATGTTGTTGTTATACATATATTTAATATAATATTATTTTCAGTGCTACTAGGTTTTATTTCTGTATGCACTGCTGTTGGTGCATGGCATTGGCTAACAGATCCAAATACACCAGCTGTATCATTTACACAAAGTCTATGTAATCATCCATTTTTTGCGATTGCTAGTATAATTTTAGGTAAGCATAATAAATGTGATATTTTTATTGATTTATAGCCAAATATTATTGATTTTTTTTTAGTAATATTATTTATGATGGGAGTACATAGACGTGTAATAGCACCAAGTATTATAACTCAAAGAGCTAGAAGTGTTCTTAGTAATTTTAATATGAGTTGTGATGATACTGGAAAACTCATTCTTAAACCAACAAGATCACGACATCATGAAAATTAAAGAGAAAAAAAATATAACTTTTATGATAATTGTCAAAGTATTTATAAAAATCTGAATTATTATGCAGGGTGATCACAAAAAATAATGTATAAATCACACTTTTGATACTAGTATAAGATTTAAGATATTATTTTGTTGTACTTAGTATTTAAAAGAATAATAATATATATCTAATAATTAAATCTAATAATTAAAATTTATATTTTTTATTCTTTAAAAAACTACTTTAATCTCATTAAAAAAAACAATATATAAGTATATTTGTATAAATTTAATCTGAAAAATAATAAAATACATAAATTATGAATATATTGAAAATAATGACCAAAATATTAACATTTTTCAATAAAATATCAGTTTAAATAATAGATTACCAATTATTTCAAAACAATGATAAATGTAATATTGTATGTGCTAGAATGTCATACATTTCTAAGTAATATAGTTTATTATATATATATATATGTATATTATGATTAAAAAATTTGTTATTTTAACATATAAAACTGTAAATATTAAGAATTTTCTAATCAAATAAACATAACAATATAATTCTCTATATAATTCTTTACTCAAAGTTAATATCAATTATAATTTTAGTTATTACAATATAATTCTTTTAAACTTATATACAGATATGATATTGTAAAATTTCAAGAAATGTTAAATAAAGATAAATATTATTCAAATGTAAAATAAATTTATTTTAATGTATTTTAAATAAAATTTTTTATTAAGAATGTATATTTTTAATGTTGAATTTTATATTCATTTTTAATTTTTAAGTTTATTAATTATATCTTTTTATAATTAATAACGTAATTATGATTGAACTATTTTAAATAATATAAAATGAAAACAAATAATAACATTTAAGTATTTGTATGGATTAAGGTTATTAAATGAAAAATACTATTATAACGAACAAAACATCTATTCGTATTAATATTTTGCATATTATTACAATTTTCGCAATGCACAATCACGCGATTTATTTCGTACAATATTCATATACAATATTATTTATTTACGCAGACCAGTATTCATTCAAAATCAACTATAGCGTTATATGTTAAGACGCATTTCTCAGTCCCAGTATTACATTACCTACGATATATATATATACAAGGGATAATTATCAAATATTATATGTGTAACATTCTAAACATTGCTTTTAAGCAATGTTTATCATAATGTTTAACTAAAAATTTTCAGTATCTGTATGTTTCTAAGTGCACATTTGTAACATGTAATATATTTAATTATTTCATACATGTACTTTTTTTTTTTATTTTTAGTGGAAGTCTTTATAATAATTTGAATTAATTTTATTAAAAATAAAATTGTCAGTTTATATAATTTTAAATTTGAAGAAATGACATATTTTTTTCGAATTTCTTACATATCTTATAATTTATATATACCAATTTGCGAGTGAAATATTTAAAATTATTAGCTGATTAAATATTTATAAGTGAAAAATGAGATTGTGTGAAATTTGTTCAATATTTTGAGTTCCTTATGCATTTTATTATAGCAAAACAGGAACATTATTATCTGAATTAAAAATTTGTTTATTATATTTTTTAAACAGTAAAAATTAGTTGTGACTGTTTGCTGCTTTATATTTATAAAACAAAAGAACACAAATAGGCAATTTTTAATTGATATATAAAATTGAAAATTACAATAGTTTTATAAATTCTGAAGTGTATATAATTACTTGGTTCATTTGCTTATTCACATTGCTAAAGTATTTTGTAAAATTATTTATTTATGGTATTTGTTTCAGTACTTTTTCATACCTTGTACATGCGAGGATCAATATTTAATATATTAAATATTGAAAAATAGAAAGTTATAGTATAAGATATATTTCATCACAAAAACCAAGCTAACATAGCATGGTTGAATTCATTTATGCATGGAACTCAAAAATAATTCAATGATCATGCTCTCTAAACTCACGTGCTAGTGCATAGAAAATAAATCACCAGCTGAAGGGAGAGGTGCTAATCCACCCGTAACATCAGGTAATTGAGTCAAATCAGGTAAATTGGAAATATGTGATTTAACTTCAGATCGTACTGCACATACTTTTTTAAGCTTTTCTTTATAATCCTGAAACATCATTAAATTCTGTAAATCATATACATATATTTTTTAATAAATATAAAGAATTTATTTATCAAAAAGAGTATAACCATACTTCCAATGTTGCTTGAGCTTGCTGGAGTAACTGTCTTTGTGCCAAAGTATAATCTCTAAGCATAGTTAATAATCTTCTTCTGTCTTCCATCTCTGCTTGTAATCTTCCATTATAATCTGCTAATAATGCAGCAGCTTCATTTACTGCAACACTTAATTGATCAGCAGCTGCTCTATCTGCTAAATTTGCAAGAAGTGAAACTTCAGATACTTCTGGTGGTAAAGATGCAATACGTTCTCTAACACCAGCATCTGAAGATGCTGTGTTTTCCAAATCCTGAAATAAAGAAGGCTTTTTTTTAGTAATTGCCTTCAATACATTCATGTGCATATACACATATTTAAGTATTTAATTTATATTTTTACATTATTTCTAGATGTAATATTTATTTAAGAAAATAAGAATACTATTTTTTTTGTTTTATTAAACTTCGAGTTTAATTAAATAAAAATATCTATTTTTCAAAAAGTAAAAGGACTATTTAAATATGTATAAATTTTAAATAAAATCAATATTATATTATTTTATTGTTTAAAATTAACAAACAAGAAATAAAATATTTTTTATTAAAAACATAAAAATGTATTATGAAATAGATTAAGAATATAGATGATATATAAATAGAATATAAAACTACTATTGGGGATGGAAATATCAAATTGTAATTATGCTTGCCAATATGCCTTATGGATTCAACATATATTTTTCTATATATAAGATAGTTTATTGCTAACGATACATATTCCGAATTTTTGTTCTTTTTATAAATGGTATTAACCATTAAAGCTTTGATGAGTTCCTCTGTTTCTGGTGGATCTCCTGCGGGAGTACGAGGACTTAATGTTACATGTAGCTCTTTGGTTCCATCCACTTCAACTTCAGTCTCTGATTTTTTTCTCTCCTTTTTATCTTTCTATAATAATAAACATAATAATATAATTAGAGATATTATATTTAATATAAATTAAAATTAGTATTATATGTTACCTTTACTTTTTCTATATCATTCTTAATTTTTTTTTTTGGAGGTGGTGTTCCTGGATCTCTTGATGTATCTGTAAAAGCAGCCTTAAACTCTGCAATTTGTGTCTTATCATAAACTCCTCTTTCCTCCCAAATTTGAAGCAGCCTATTTAATCTTTCTCTTGTCTTTTCGTCAAATCCTTTCATATGTTCAAAAGCTTTTGGTAAAACTGTTTCAAATTCTTTTCCAAATTCTGGTCCTTTTTTTTTACTGTTTTGAATAACATCATTTGCCAAATACATAAACATAAGTTTACGATTATCCTTCACTGTAAAAAATATAATAATAATAATGATATTTGAAAAAAATGTATTAATTTTATGGAATCTTAAAATAAATTAACAGTTTATTTGTTAAAATTATAAAACTTAATTTATAATAAAAAATTGTAATTAAGAAATTAAACAGAATTAAATAAATTATAGAAAAAATTTATAAAAAAATATATTGAAATATATATTTATGATATAATTAATTTAAGTAATTTAAGTAAAACTATAAATATTAAAAAATATTATAAACAATTTTATAATAATATAATAATTTACGTAAAGAATTAAATATAAATTACAATTGTATATTTGCATGAAAATATATTTCTAAATTAATATTAAAAATTATAATATCATTTAAAATGTTATATATTATAATTGTAACAGATAACTATCAATAATATAAATACAATTTTGCAGTTGACATACTGTTACGAGAAATATGTTCATAATTACGTAGTGAAGGACTAATTTACAAGTTAACCTAAAAATTTCATTGAAGATTAATTTATATTTATCTTATTTGAAATATAATATAAAAATAATTCAATAACAAAATAATATTTGATACTCAAAATTTGAAATGTAAAATAAAAAGATATACTTACGGCAATCTTAACGTACCTTTACACATCTCTTTAAACCAGACTTTCACGATGGTCGGATGGTGTTTTCTGTGATGAATTAACCAAAGAGAAAGTGTTTGAATACTTTGTTGAGAAGGATTTAAGTCCATTAGTCTTTTCACCAGTGCACTTTCTGTAAATCCTGTCATTTTATAATTAAAATGTTGTTTCGTCAATAAAAGTTATTAAAAATTGCTCGTATTCCAATTCACGAGCACGAGCCGCACAAGTGTACGACTCAACAGCTGAAATACAAACACGAACGGCGTATAAAATGTTGTACTGCATGTACTTCCGTCACTTTTGACATCAGCGCCATCTTTTTCAAATTTTTTGAACTATATTGTATTATATTGTCAATTTCGATCGATAATTTAAATATCGTTCAAAGATGAAAT